CCGTCAAATCTTGGGTGAGAACCTCCTTCCCTCAGCCAGGGCATTGAAAATGGGTTGTGGATGGGTATTCCAGCCTGACAATGACCCAAAACACACGGCCAAGGCAACAAAGGAGTGGCTCAAGAAGGAGCATATTAAGGTCCTGGAGAGGCCTAGCCAGTCTCCAGACCTTAATCCCATAGAAAATCTGTGGAGGGAGCTGAAGGTTCGAGTTGCCAAACGTCAGCCTCGAAACCTTAATGATAATGGAGAAGATCTGCAAAGAGGAGTGGGACAAAATCCCTCCTGAGATGTGTGCAAACCTGGTGGCCAACTACAAGAAACGTCTGACCTCTGTGATGGCCAACAAGGTTTTTGCCACCAAGTACTAAGTCATGTTTTGCAGAGGGGTCAAATACTTATTTCCCTCATTAAAATGCAAATCAATTTATAACATTTTTTACATGCGTTTTTCTGGATTTTGTTGTTGTTATTATGTCTCTCACTGTTCAAATAAACCTACCATTAAAATTATAGACTGATCATGTCTTTGTCAGTGGGCAAACGTACAAAATCAGCAGGGGATCAAATACTTTTTTTCCCTCACTGTAAGTGAAGGTGCTGTACAGCTACACATACACACTCCAACCACTGCACCAAAGGAGGAATGTAGCCACATGCTAAGCTAATCCAGTGTAATCAATGACATTGCATCGCCGCAGTAAGGGTTAATACAGTATAATCAGAATGTACTCAATCAACTACACGGCACATTAGCTTTGCACTGAGAACGAGAGAGGGAGAGAAGAAGAGAGGAGAGGGGGGAGAGGAGAGAGAAGAGGAAGAGGGAGAGAGATGGGTGAGAGAGGGAGAGAGAGGGAGAGAGAGGGGAAGAGTGAGAGCGCGGGAGAGAGGAGCGCAAGAGAGAGGTAGAGAGAACAGGGTGCATTAATGGTCTGCAGTCTTTTCTCCCCATTTTGTGCAGCTCAGCAAATAATCGTTCTGCCTCTAGCTCTCCTCTCCCCCTCTCCTCACACTCTGTCTCTTTCCCACTCTACTCTCCCCTCTCTCCCATTGGATAAGCTTGAAGCTTGGAGAGAGCGAGAGACGGAGGGATGGAGAGAGAGAGAGACGGCGGGAGGGAGGGGGCGTGAAACACTCTGTCATATTCATCTCACTCCTCTCTAATTGAAGAAAGTGGTTTAGTGAATTGAAAGACAGGAGGACGGGAAGAGTGGGGCCATGCAGGGGGGAGAGGGAGAGAGGAGGGGGGGGGGGAATAGAGCGAAGAGAGGGACCCATTCGTTATGTAATATCACATTAAAACGTTACCTCTCCCCAATTCAACATTGCCCTACCGGTGTGTCTGTGTGTACGTGTGTATGTGTGTGTGCACATGTGTGTGTTTTCTTTACTATTCCTCACCGTGTCCACTACGGACCCTAATGATAACACAAGGTTTCTCATGCAGTGCCCCTTATGTCATGCTCCATCTCATCAGTGTATGGTCACCTGCTGTCACCATAGTAACCTGCACCTGCACCTCTATTGAAAAGGAAACACCTCACCTCCTAACCTCCCCTCATCTGTCTCATGTTCATATGCTGTTGTTAACTAGCCTATAGAACTGGTGAATTAGCCTGTTAATTAGCTGTGGTTTCAGTCACTATTGGGTGAATGGTTTCTCTAACTAGCCTGTAGGTTTAAGTGTATATACAGTTGAAGTCGGAAGTTTACATACACTTAGGTTGGAGTCATTAAAACTTGTTTTTCAACCACTCCACAAATTTCTTGTTAACAAACTATAGTTTTGGCAAGTCGGTTAGGACATCTACTTTGTGCATGACACAAGTAATTTTTCCAACAATTGTTTACAGACAGATTATTTCACAGATTATTTTCAGAAGTTTACATACTGTCACGCCCTGGCCTACAGAACTCTAGCTAGTTTGGTCAGGGTGTGAATATTCTAGATTTGTATTTCTATGTTGGCCGGTGTGGTTCCCAATTAGAGGCAGCTGTCACTCGTTGTCTCTGATTGGGAATCATACTTAGGCAGCCTTTTGGCACTGTCTAGTTGTGGGTTCTTGTTCCGTGTAAGGTTTGTTGTGTTGTACCTTTGGACTTCACGGTTTGTTTCCTTTGTTGTTTTGTCGTGTGTTTATCGTTAAATAAACATGTACGCATATCACGCTGCGCCTTGGTCCGACCCGTCCTTCAATGAGCGTGACAGAAGAACCCACCAAACGAGGACCAAGCAGCGTGCCCAGGAGCAGCAGACACCCTGGACACAGGTGGAGGAGCAGAGAGTATGGACTTGGTGGGAGATAAGAGAGGATCTGGCAAGGCAGATGGAGGCCCTGAAAGGGATCAGGGTGGAGAAGGAGAGACAGCCCCAATAAAACATTTTGGGGGGGCTAAAAGGGTGGTCGGGGAGCGACAGAGAGGAGCCCCGACCACTGCACTCGTGGGGGCTCAAGGAGGAGTCCTCACTGGAGGAGGACGGGGCGCGGAGTGTAAAGGACGGAGACAGTCATAGACCTCCAGCGCCGGTTCTCAGTCCAGTACGCCCCCGTACCTGCTCATCGCACCAAGCCAGTGGTGCGTGTTCCCAGTCCGGCCCGGCTTGTTCCTGCTCCTCGCACCAAGCCGGTGGTGCGTGTTCCCAGTCCGGCCCAGCCTGTTCCTGCTCCTCGCACCAAGCCAGTGGTGCGCGTTGCCAGTCCGGCCCGGCCTGTTCCTGCTCCTCGCACCAAGCCAGTGGTGCGCGTCGCCAGTCCGGCCCGTGCCCGTTCCACTGGTGCCTGGTCCGGCACCAGTCAGTGGCTCCACTCTGGAGCCAGAGCAGTCCGCTCCACCGGTGCCTGATCCAGATCCGGTCGGTTGCTCCACTCTGGAGCCAGAGCGGTCTGCTCCACCGGTGCCCAGTCCAGCTCCAGTCAGCAGCTCCACTCCGGAGCCAGAGCAGTCCGCCCCACCGGTGCCCAAGCCAGCTCCGGGCAGCAGCTCCACGCCGGAGCCGCCACCGAGGCTGGAAGCCCACCCGGACCCTCCCCTATTCAGTCAGGTTTGTGCGGCCGGAGTCCGCACCTTTGTGGGGGCGGTACTGTCACGCCCTGGCCTACAGAATAGCTAGTTTGGTCAGGGTGTGAATATTCTAGATTTGTATTTCTATGTTGGCCGGTGTGGTTCCCAATCAGAGGCAGCTGTCGCTCGTTGTCTCTGATTGGGAATCATACTTAGGCAGCCTTTTGGCACTGTCTAGTTGTGGGTTCTTGTTCCGTGTAAGGTTTGTTGTGTTGTACCTTTGGACTTCACGTTTCGTTTCCTTTGTCGTGTGTTTATCGTTAAATAAACATGTACACATATCACGCTGCGCCTTGGTCCGACCCATCTTTAAACGAACGTGACACATACACTAAGTTGACTGTGCCTTTAAACAGCTTGGAAAATTCCAGAAAATGATGGCATGGCTTTAGAAGCTTCTGATAGGCTAATTGACATCATTTGAGTCACTTGGAGGTGTACCTGTGGATGTATTTCAAGGCCTACCTTCAAAGTCAGTGCCTCTTTGCTTGACATCATGGGAAAATCAAAATAAATCAGCCAAGACCTCAGAAAAAAAATAGTAGACCTCCACAAGTCTGGTTCATCCTTGGGAGCAATTTCCAAACGCCTGAAGGTACCACGTTCATCTGTACAACCAATAGTACACAAGTATAAACACAATGGGATCAAGCAGCCGTCATACCGCTCAGGAATTCTGTCTCCTAGAGATGAACGTACTTTGGTGCAAATCAATCCCAGAATAACAAAAGGACCTTGTGAAGATGCTGGAGGAAACAGGTACAAAAGTATCTATATCCACAGTAAAATGAGTCCTATATCGACATAACCTGAAAGGCCGCTCAGCAAGGAAGAAGCCACTGCTCCAAAATCGCCATAAAAAAGCCAGACTATGGTTTGCAACTGCACATGGGGACAAAGATCGTACTTTTTGGAGAAATGTCCTCTGGTCTGATGAAACAAAAATAGAACTGTTTGGCCATAATGACCATCATTATGTTTGGAGGAAAAAGGGGTCTGCTTGCAAGCCGAAGAACACCATCCCAACTGTGAAGCACGGGGGTGGCAGCATCATGCTGTGGGGGTGCTTTGCTGCAGGAGGGACTGGTGCACTTCACAAAATAGATGGCATCATGAGGAAGGAAAATTATGTGGATATATTGAAGCAACATCTCAAGACATCAGTCAAGAAGTTAAAGCTTGGTCGCAAATGGGTCTTCCAAATGGACAATGACCCCAAGCATACTTCCAAAAGTGTGGCAAAATGGCTTAAGGACAACAAAGTCAAGGTATTGGAGTGGCCATCACAAAGCCCTGACCTCAATCCTATAGAAAATGTGTGGGCAGAACTGGAAAAGCGTGTGCGAGCAAGGAGGCCTACAAACCTGACTCAGTTACACCAGCTCTGTCAGGAGGAATGGGCCACAATTCACGCAACTTATTGTGGGAAGCTTGTGGAAGGCTACCCAAAAGGTTTGACCCAAGATAAACAATTTCAATGCTACCAAGTACTAATTGAGTGTATGTAAGCTTCTGACCCACTAGGAATGTGATGAAATAAATAAAAGCTTAAATAAATCATTCTCTCTACAATTATTCTGACATTTCACATTCTTAAAATAAAGTGGTGATCCTAACTGACCTAAGACAGGGAATTTTTACTAGGATTAAATGTCAGGAATTGTTGAAATGTATTTGGCTAAGGTGTATGTAAACTTCCGACTTCAACTGTATGTATGGTGCAGTCAGTGCACACATGATAAGCTATGGTCTATTTGTATTTCAAAGATTTTACCCTCATTTGTAGATTTGACCCTCATGTTAAAAAATCTAAACCATACTCCATCCTTTTCCACTAAATATTCTACCCCTCTCTCTTTCCCTCTCCACAGACTCCTCCTTCCCCCCTCCCCCTTGTGTTCTATCTCTCTTCCTCTCCCTCCCTTTTTCACCCTATGCTCAGTTCGGTGTGTGTCTCCTCTTTCAAAGGACGCAAGGGTGGGAACAAGTCGCCCAACAAAGCATGTTACAGTGCAGACATGACTTGTCCGTCAGACAGCGAGAAAATCGTAATAAACTGTGGAGGGGTGCGACACGAGACTTACCGCAGCACCCTCAAGACGTTGCCCGGTACCCGCTTATCTTGGCTTACCGATCCGGACGCGTTTAGCAACTTCGACTACGACCCCAAAATCGACGAGTTCTTCTTCGACCGCCACCCCGGCACATTCACATTCATCCTCAACTACTACCGCACAGGCAAGCTTCACTGTCCCAACGATGTGTGCGGACCACTGTTCGAGGAGGAACTCGCCTTCTGGGGCATCGACGAGACGGACGTGGAGGCGTGCTGCTGGATGAACTACCGTCAACACAGGGATGCCGAAGAGGCGCTGGACAGCTTCGAGCAGCCCGAGCCAGAGGAGCCGGAAGACGACCTGGAGCTGACTGCGGACGGAGAGCTCAAGAGGCTGTGCCTGCATGAAGACGGGCGCAAGAGGAGCTGGTGGAGTGTGTGGCAACCCTATTTCTGGAATCTTTTTGAGGATCCATATTCTTCCAAGAATGCCAAGGTGAGTCCTCTCTCTCTCTCTCTCTCTCTCTCTCTCTCTCTCTCTCTCTCTCTCTCTCTCTCTCGTTGTGACATTTCCTCTTGAAAAAATGTTGCCGTCCCACAAAAGTCTATTGCAAGTGCACTGGAATGTTAAACTGGATTTAGAAGAGGGAGATCCCGCATAGCCTACTGCTTATTTAGGCTATATATTGAATATCCCTGACATATTTTATAATGGACGTCATGTGTACAGACTGCAGTCTATGAAAGTTGGCTGCTATGTCCAAAGTTAATACGATGATGAGGGAGGGTGTGTTGGAATGGTGTTCATTGTGTTCTTGTCAGAATGATGGTGATGTTCGCTTTGATAGTCAAGGAAAATTAGTTGGAAGAAAAAGAACAGTGACTGTCATAAACATCGGTTAGGGATTTCCAAAAAGCAGCCAACTCAGACCAGTGCTGGTGTGCCTAGAAATGATGTTGCCGATTGGAAATGGACTGTTGTGGCCTATGGTGTGTTATTTTCTCTATTTTTATAAATTATTTAATTTAGCTCCATAGTACGCTATTACAGTTGTGTGGGGAGACCCTCTCCCATGTACCTCGTCCCTCTCTCCTTCTCCATTTTTACGCATTATTTCCCGGTTACCACTGCGTCTCGAGCGTACTGCATACGACCCCCCCCCCCCCCCCCCCCCCCCCCCCCCCCCCCACACACACACACACACACACACGCTTTCCCACGCTTGATTAAATTGTCGTTCTTTGTGGACCTCTAGCGCCCGTTGTCATCGAGCGCATCATTCAATCTCGATTAGCGCATTATCTCTTCTCGCTCACTCTCTCGTCTTCCGCACTGTCCACTCCCCCGTTGCGCATCTCTCTCTTTCTCCTTGCCTTTCACTCTCTCTCGTTGCCTTTCACTCTCTCCATCTCACTTTCACCCCTTCTCTTTACCTCCTCTCAATTTATCTCTTCACACCAATAACTTTTGGGTTTTAACAAGCCTTCTCGTGCTGCTTCCCTCTCCAGTCTATAGGCTACCCGCGTTTTGCGCACCCTGGCTGTGATTTTCGCGCATTTTAAGCAGCTAGTTTTGTAAACTAGTCCAGTGTCCACTTATCTAACTCAAATAAGGTTAAAACCTAAAGAAGTTAATCGTTAATGAATGGAACCTTTGTAATGTTTGTGCCCTCCACAGAAATTACTTAATTAACTCACTTTTCATTCTAATCTAGACCTAAACCTTTGACCATGCTCTCCTGCTGTTTGAACAACCTACCTGTCACCATTGCACCTGTCTTTCCCGCCAATCAACATCTCCATCTCCTCTCCCACAGTCGCAATTTATACAAGTGAAGGGTTATTTTAGGCTTAGTTAGTTTAGGGTTTTGTTGCCAACCAACATTTTGAATTAATGCTTTGCTTGCCTCTGTATGTTGACTGACCAATTGTTTACAGTTGCCTATCAATTGCCTATCTCATTTTGCTTGTGTTGACATACACTAATGGAAAACTGTAAATGATACAGTAATTGTGTGTATTATCAACAGTAAAATACTTTTAAATGTTTTACTGCAGCATACTGTAAATTATGGTCATTGTGGGAAAATGTTGTGAGCTGGAAAAAATTGCTGTATTTTGAACGGTACTGTAATTACAGTAAAATCCTGTGAAATACAAACCTCTAAACTAATTTAATTCAGTCATTCATTTATTCACTCCGATTATGGTAGCATTATCTTTTTAAAAGTATAATATAGTCAATTTTATGGTATTGTACTGTGTGTCATTACGCAGTACTTGCTTTGATACTGTGAACTGTAATATGAAATACAGAATTTTACTTGCCACTGAGCTGCCTGTAAGCTACTGACAAATTCACAGTAACCCCTTTACAGTGTAGGCCTAGTCAGCCATGTTGGTGACATACAGTAGGCCGGTGTCACATGTGGCCCTGTATGTATGACGCCCCAGCGGTTGGTTATTCCCCTTCAACATGACAAACCATATAGCCTATTATCTTCAGTGTGGTGGCTTTTTTATTGAAGGCTACCCACTGTTTTCTTTCAAGCTGATAGGCTATCTGTGTGTGAAAACAGGGACATCAACAGGCCTGCACCTGTGACAAATGAACAAAGACACATCTGTATGAGTATTCAGTTAGGACTACGCATCTGCGGAGATGAGGGAGCATTCATAACCAGGAACTGTTGGCTGAAATGTGTTGACTGTTGAGGATATGCAGGCCAGGCCTGTAACCTTACCTGTTACAACGGCTCACAAACACAAATTAACACCTTCACGCGGGTGACACTGAATGCATGTGGTTCCCTGGCAACAGGATATATGCTATGCTGTATTCTGGAGCCAGGCGACAGTAGGCTATCACAGGTGAAGGCTTGACATAGAAATAGAATTAGTAGAACCAAGGCGTTCTATAGAGAACACACAGACCTATTTAAGGTGTAAGGTAAGGTGTCAAGAGAAGGAAACTAAGGAATTCCGCTCTTGATTAAAAATGGTATAATCATCAATGGTCTGTATAGGACTGATTGCTTCTGTTTAAGCCTGAGGTCTTCGTACATGGAGTGACACTAGAATATTCACCGTCACACAACAGGCGTAATTTATATCAAAAGTCGTCCTGCGGGCGGCTATAGCTCCTCGTCCTTCTAAACGCATGTCCTTGGTAGAATGGACATTCATCTATGC